GTCCCTTACACTCATCTAAGTGAATGGCAGACAAAAAAATTTGTTGACCTAAACAGAAGAAAGATTGTCCCAAAATTATCCATAACAAAAATCATCAGTAATGTTCCGTAATTACTTCAGTGTGCAAGTTTTCAGAAAGATTTAACTATGTGAAAAGTCTGGCTTTGGTTTTCTGCGTGCATACACATGTGCATGTGTAAAAAACTTACACTCATCTAAGTGAATGGCAGACAAAAAAATTTGTTGACCTAAACAGAAGAAAGATTGTCCCAAAATTATCCATAACAAAAATCATCAGTAATGTTCCGTAATTACTTCAGTGTGCAAGTTTTCAGAAAGATTTAACTATGTGAAAAGTCTGGCTTTGGTTTTCTGCGTGCATACACATGTGCATGTGTAAAAAAAAAAACCACTCATGTATATTGATACTAGAAGATTTACCTGGTGTTGCTTGAGTTAGTCAAGTCAGGGGGCTGAGGGTGTGGGAGGTGCAGGAGTCAGGGCAGAGACTTGGGGTACAGGAGCTGACGGCAAGGAGGTGTGGGAGTGTGGGGTGGTGCAGGAGTCAGTGTTGGGGAGTGAGGCAGTATGAGGGGGGATTAAGGAAGGAGGTGGGAGTTAGGACAGGGGATTGGGTACTCAGGGCAGGGGGTGGGGCAGCGAGCAGCTGCTCTTCGGGTCAAAACCAAGGTCATGCTGCCTAATCAGCAGTTGCTCCCCAGGCCCAGCTAGGGTGGCAGGTGTGGTGGTGCCTGGCCAGTGGCCACTCCATGATTTACCAGGGCTGTTGGGGCAACAGAGACCTCTCCCCTGGGCTGGTTGGGACAGCAGGGCCGTACTACCTGTCCAGCAGCTATTCTGCACCTGCTTGCTGCCCTGTCTGTGGTCATTGTGGAGTATAAGGGTATGTCTAGACTACATGGCTCCGTCGATGGAGCCATGTAGATGTGTTTACTAGACATCGTGAAATGAAGCGGCGATTTAAATAATTTCACAAGGCATACCCGGGCAGTCGATAAAGGCTTCTCTTGTCAACCACAGCGCGTCCAGACTACCGCGCTGTGCTACCAAACAGCTGATCGGCTCAGTACGGCGGCCATTTTGATGTAAATGAAGCAGCGATTATTTAAATCACCACTTCATTTCCCTATGTCTAGTAAACTCATCTACATGGCTCTGTTAACGGAGCCACGTAGTCTAGACAGGGCCGGCCTGAGCCCTTTTGGTGCCCTGGGCCCGAGAGCATGGTGCCTCCCCAGGGCGCATGCGCAGGCCCACCTGTGGGGCGCGGGCCCGACCCCCTAGAGGGCCCCGCAGCTGTGGAGGGAAGGATGCTGCTGGCTGGCGCCGCGGGGCCTGCGCTGTGGAATCCGGGCGCACAGCTCTGATGGCAGCTGTAAGGGACGCCACACGCCCCTTACAGCTGCCATTAGGCTCTCCTCATTGGTTGGCACCCTGAGCAGCTGCTTGGCTCACCCCTGCCTCCGTCCGACCCTGAGTCTAGACATATCCTAACTGTCCCTCCTTTTCAGTTTGAAGAGAAACAACCACATTCCAGACACGTCCCATTGTCCTGGCACAACCAAACCCTGACCTTGCTTTAAGCTATGATGAAGTGAATCTGCATGCCAAATTTGGTGGCCCTTGCTCTTATCATTGAGAAGGAGCTCTCTGAACATTCACAGATGGAAGGAGAGACAGACAGACAGAGATGCGCAAACTCTCTCAAAAATATAGTAGACTAGCCATATAACTTACAGAGAGGAGAGGAATAATTCTATTCATAAATCCTTGACCAATTCACCTGCAGGCTGCCCTAACCAATTCCCCCAGGACTTACTGCAGCATTTCACACACTTGAATATAAGCAACAACACTAATAAAAAACAACAAAACCAAAAACAAACAGCTAGAAATAGGTTCCTTTCCCCTTCTTTCTCCTGCAGTTGTACTGTTCTGATGCACATGTATGTGTGTGCACATGTGCGCACACACATACCCCCACATCAGCGGTGTACATTTTACCATCTTTAAGACAGAATTTCACAGCTCAGAAGCCAAATGAGTTGTTTCCAGAATCTAGTCATTTGTTTCCTTTAGGGAGCATATTCATTTGCAATTATTAGGGGCAGACAGCCCAGAAGAGTCAAAAGGAAATCTTGTCAGTTTTTTTTTTTACAGGTGACCAGAGCTACAAGCCCATGTTGGTTGTAAAAGACCAAGACTGTGTCACTTTGATTGTTGCGTTACACTGTGGAAAACATTTATACAGCCTGTAGCTATGAGTCTCAGATTCTGGGTCTGTAAAATCAGACTTATGGGCTCGCACTCCAGTGTTAAAAACAGCTCAAGAGACATTGCAGCTCCAACAGAAGACTAAATGTCTACATCAGTGGTTCCCAAACTTTTCAGCATCAAACCCCTTTTTGATTTTTGAGAAACCGTCACCCCCCTCTTCCCCGCGTTAGCAGAAAAACTTGTTGAGCAAAAATTAAAAAAAAAAAAAAAGGAAAAAAAGAAACTGAACAGGGCAGCAAAACTTGATGGGAGCAAAACTTGCACACACACCCCCTCCCCCCCCCGGAATTTTTTCACGCCCCCCAGTTTGGGAACCCATGCACTAGAGCTTACTATAGGAGCCTCTACTGCTTGAGCTAAAAGTCAGCTGTCTCTCAGCCCATGCTGTAAAGGTCTCTTGTTCTTATCTGTTGCTGTAAGTGGTCTACGTGCCTCTGCATAGGACAGTGAACTACACTAGGTGCATGGGTTACATGTGCACAGTCTACATAGTTATTTGTACCACCTTAGCATGAGCCCTGAGAGCCCAAATCCATAGTCCTGAACTTTAAGATTAGCTTCCACAGGCTGCCACTTGTTGTGAAGATATATGTTGTGTGGTTAAATCATGTTATTCTTTTGTTGAATTTGTTGTTTAGATCAATAGCTAAACAGCAAACTTGCCACACAATGCAGCATTCATTCTTGGGCCTGACTTTCTCCAACAGAACACTGAATGAAAGGATTGGTAGTTAGTCATATCCTGATGGCCCCATTCAGAATTCTGGAGATCTAGTTAGTTTTCTGCTTTCTGTGCATATGAAAGCAGAATTCACAGTGAGGTCACTACAGGCCAGAATGAGCAAATCTACAAGCAACAGCAGTTCAAACAGATAAAAAAATTTGGAAAAAAAAGCAACTTGATCAGCATGCAGCATTTCCAGTGGTTTTTCTACATCATTTTAATGTAATGTTCATTTTAAAAAGGAAAAGGGGAAAATAAGATACCTACTTTTCAGGATTTTCCACTTCTTCAGTAACAAAATTGAGGTAAAACCTAGAATAGGAGAGAAAACCATTACAAAACTGTAGTGCATTTTCACCCTAGATTAGTTTTCCAATAGTCATGTAGATGTTCTCAATTCATGGTACAGACCTGTTCTTATCACAGGTTCTTTACTGAGCTACATTGGCAATTATACTGAGTAAGGAAATCACACCTCCTTATCCTTCTGTTTCCCCTCCATTTTGGAAGAAAAGTTGGTTTGCTAGTTATCAAGGAAAACAGGACACTAGACAAAACACTACACAACACCAACATGGAATGACATTGCACTTACGGCTTTTTCCCCCAAGCTCATAAGCTGAAAAAAGTACTGCGAAAATTCCCCTTCAATCCACACAAATTTCAGTCTAAGGCCCTGGCCTTAAGCTTGAATCTGACAGAATGTCTTGTAGAGACTACATCAATGACCTTGTCTGGGACTTTGGAGCAGCAACCAAACAGGAACAACTTTAAAGAATCTATCTCGGATATTAGCCAATAATGGAAGTTGTTAACTGGAAGCAGTTAATATCATATAGCTAGCAATCAAGGTCATTAATCCTGCAAGTCATGGCACTGACTTGGTTGCACTTAGGTGGTTGTACTCCACTGTAAAAGCTAGACAAGGCTGTGCATCTGCATACATAAGTCTATGCAGGAGGCATAGTCCTACATACTGAGCAGTAGCAAGTCTCAAACTTCTTGAGTAACTTGCGAGTGTGCAGAGTAAAAAAAGGGAGGGAGGAGCAAAGTAAGGATATTGGCTCCTGCCTAATAAATGTAGCTATGTGCTCATGTCTTCAATTCCACTCCAGCTACTAGACAAATAATTTGGTGACCAGGCATCAGTCCTCTCAATAACGCAAAGTTGTGTTTACTTGCTTCCTCTATTCTTTGTCCTGCTTGCCACTTTTCACCCACCACTTACATACAGAATATTCTGCATCTGGTCAATGTTGGATGAAACCCCAGACATAGCCAATTAAACACCCTTCTTTCTTCTTTTTTTACTGCCTATTAGTGTGTGTATTAAATACTGCCAATAATTGGGTCACAACAGCAAATTTTGCCCTGCCTCTTCATAGTTATTTTATTGGATTTATTTAGCCACATGTTGTTAACATAGAAAGGCTATTGTGTGACATACCATATTGTTCTTGTCTGTTCTGCTAAAGCAGGGGTGGGGAACCTATAGCCCGTGAGGCTCAGCTCTGGCTGGCTCCCACCACTGGGAGGTGGGAAGGCCTGATCAAAGTAAGCTGCAGGCTAGATTGGACCCATAGGCTTTGCCTGGTTGGAGGGAGGAAGTGCTCCCTGCAGGCACCATCCACCTGCCACTCCCATTGGCTGGGAAACATGACCAATGGGAATGGCAAGGAACAGTGCCCTCTGGAAGCATTTCCCTGAAGTGTGCAGAGCTATGTAGAGTGCTTGTGCCCCCCCCCCCCCCCGAAACTATCCCCCCTTTTTCTGCTTGCAGACCCCACAGCCAGCTCCTGGCATCCTCCCTCCCACCCTCGCATCCTCACCCCCCAGCAGCTTCCTCCCACACACTGAACCCCTTATTGTTAGCCCCCACCAGAGAGTTTAGGGGACTCCACCAAATCTACTAGCTCTGAGCCCCAGGAAGAGTTAATCCAGTTTTCAGGGTTAGCTCTGGGTCTTGGCGCCTCCCCCAGCATGTGGGGCTGAAAGCCACATCTGTGAGGTGAGTTTTTTTTTTCCTTTTTATTTGTGTGTGGCCCCCAACTGATTTTTCTGAGCTTCAGTGGCTCCCAACCCCTGTAAAGCAATCAGTCTAAACCAGTGACAAAGAGAGAGGTAGCTTGGAAAGAAATAGTGCCAAGAGTTAAATCTGTTTCTGATTATTAATTTTGTAAATGGTAAATAAGATCAAGGATCTAGGATTAAAAGTTGGTAGTTAGGAAAGCAAAAGGCAAAAAGTTACTACTATTAGTTCAAATGTAAGTTTTGAGGAGCTCAATGTTTTGGTTGGGAAAGCGAGGCAACTAGGACTAACAGGTATGAAGTCACTATTTTTAAAACTTCTATTTTACCATTTTCAGGGTGAGTAATGTCCAAACAGGAGTAAGTGGCAATAAAACAAAAAAGATAATGAAGGGAAGTATTTTAATCTAGTGTCCATTTCACAGATAAATGAGAGAGAGGAAGTGGATGAGGGAGGAGAAGAGAGGGAGAGATTTCATATAATCAAGATGATTCTTTTTGGCTTTCAAAATGTCTGCTCTATTTTCTGAACCTTTAGCATTCAAAGGCTTATGAATAGTCTAGGGTGGATTACATACAATTTAATGTACAAGTTTTGTTTGGTAATTCACTGTGCATGTTTGTAATGCCCGTATACAAAAGGGGAGCTACAGGCTGACAGAAAATTCAAATACCTGACTCTACCCATTGCCACCCCTCTGGACCTCCAAAAAGAAAAAACACTTCTCATTCAGGTCTCATCCTCTGTGTAAGTGCTTTAGTGCCTGCGAGCAGCATGTGCAGGATAAGGAGGAAGAAGGCTTACAAACAGAGTTGTCTCAAAATAAACCCTGTTTGTGCATTACAGTCGTTTTAAAACTCCATCTGCACTGTATATTGGCAATGCAGAGCACCTATAGGGCATAAATAAATTGTAAGGAAGCAAGTAGAAATACCAACCTGTTTCCAGCCTACAATAGCATAGTTAGTGACAGGCAGAGAGACAGCACTTGGAGCAATGTTCTGAGCAAGATACTTTGGATCATATTCTAATACCTTGCCTCTGAATACAGGCCATCCTCGTTACAAGTTCAAGATATGTTCCCAAAAAACTTGGACTTATAGCAAAACAGCTTAAAGTGGGGATTTTTTCCCCACAGCTGACTTCCATTTGTGCTTTTGTGGGGGGGAGGGAAGGGGGAGAATGAGAGGACTTATAATGCATCAGTTCCTACAAGCATCAATGACTTTAGTGTGGAATGGATGTTTACCAGGGTGACTTATAGTGGGGACTACTTTACTCCCTTTGACAAGGTATAAGATGCTAGTCAGCAAGTGCAAAGTGGTTTTATATCATTACTTTGTGGCTCAGCTAAAGTTATTAATATGCCCTTCCAAGCACTCAATTTTTACTTGTCTTTTGGGCTACGTGTTCATAAAGTGGAGACTGAGATTTACATGAAATACAATTCCTCTTACAAATTGCTTAACTCTCCATATAAAACAGTATTTGTGCATGCAATTATCCATATATTTAAAAAAGGGAAAAAATTATGCTTGGCTTTTTAGAAAAAATAGATTCAGAGAATTAAAATATGTTCCTCTTTATTCATTTCAGTTCTAGCCTGAGGCCAAAAATATAAGTCAGTAATTACTTTGAGCCAGATTCTTCCATGTTTATCCACCTTAATACATTCATTCCTCAATGGAGCTACTCAAAGAGTAACTACTGAACATATGTAAGACCAACAGAATCTGTCCTTTAATGCACAAAGCAATTTGAAACCAAATGTAGAGCAAGTCAGTCACTTTTTATACCTGAATATATGGCTTGGTTACAGCACAAACTCTATAACACAAATAGACATCTTTGGACTACTTACCAGCCTGAATAGGCATACATTCCTGAATAAAAAGCAAGAGGTAATCCCATAACACTGGCATCATTTCCTGCAAATGCATCTTTAAAGTGCTGTGTTTCTCCTGCAATACAAATAGAAATGATACTGAAACACTCACTAGACAATTTTTAAAAATATTTTTACCCATGACTACTCCCTTCTGACCATCTTCTCTATCTTTCCCTCTTCATAAGAAACAATTCACATCATGAAGAAGTGACTCATCCAGCTAGTTTAACTTCAGATTCTGCCATTGAGTTTAATAGGGCTGTTTGAGAGAGGAACCCCTCCTCAATGTGAATAAGGGTTTACAATCTGGCACTGAATTTGTGCCCTGATTGCATTCACTTTCCACTCTAGGAAAAGAGTTGCCAATTTTATTCAGATTTTACTGGCTATTTGTGGAGACAGCTAATCTCTTCTAATCAAGTAACAGGAACAGAGTGTATGTTTTATATATCCAGCTAGTACAGATTGTACATGATACCAGTAAGCTACAGCCAAAGAATCTTCTTGAGAAATTATTTGGTGGATTATTTCAAATAAAGAAATTTGAGAAAATCCAATTGGCAATTTGCAAGCAGAAAAGTTGAAAATTTATCACATAAATGACTAAATATGCAGCTATCAGCATTAAATTATTAAAGCACATTTTAAATGTGTCAATCAGTTTACATATTTTTCACATTAACTACCAACCTCCTCTGCCCTGCCCCCCCAAAAAAGGTTTGTGAACCAAGTGATACATGAGAAGCAATGTATTGCTGTATCACTACCAGAAATGGAAAAGTTAACCAAACCCCCAGATCTGGCCCTG